TGCTTACAAAGTCCAGAGTTATGCAGGCCATAGTTCGTTTATCGGCCGAATTTTAAATCAGTTGTTCTGTTGCCACCAATGCTTACGGTAATCGTCCGTTTTTCGTAAATTGACCGATAAAAAAAAATGAGGAGGAACCGCGAAATTCAGCCGACGACATTGTCCCACTAACGGTGCGAATATCGGCCGATTATTCTTTCGGATGAAAATTCGGATGATAAACGAACCGTCCATGGCCTGCATAAGACTTTAATTTCTTTGTCTTCTACCAAACATTACGTTAAAACTCCCAGTCCATCTACTCCGTCCGCAGGGTGACAACACTGCTGTGCGATTTTACTGCAGAACAAAAAGCGTTGTCACTGTGTGCCAAAGGAAATGGAAATATAATGGATCTACTGGCAGGATTAACATGTGCGGGGGGGGGATGGTCCTGATGGACTGCAGTATATATATAGGACATCCACCCCAATGTTCCACTGTAACGTTTTTTCATGGCTGTGTTCTGCCATTTACAGAATAAAGAGACGCTGGTGTCACTGTATACATAGTAAGAAGCAGCGTCTCTCCTATTGGGCGCCATTGGAGTTGTCACCGGATAGGTGTTGGGCTCAGCATTGGTGAAGTTGAGAAGCAATTGTTACATTTGTTGGTGAGATGTGAATCCGTCACTCATCAGGGAGGGGGCAGTGACACCTCCCTGGGCTCCTGTCATTGTAATCCGGCTGTATTGTCTGAATGGCTGCGGAGATATGACATCCCCTGTGAGGGGATCAGGACCACCAGGGGGCCAATTTATACATTTATTGCTGCAATCTTATTATGGATCAATTAAAGGGGATCTTTGTGGCGTGGTCTTCAGCTTGGACCAATGTAACTATTCATGGACCATATCTTTGCAATCCCTCCAGAGCAGGGGTCTCTGAACAAATGGCCAGTCTGCTGTCCTTCAGACTTTACGGGGTGCAGACAGTGTCCAGTGGGGGTAGAAAATGTTCTGGCATCAGTGAGGATAAACAATGCCCCATCTTTGGTATTAGGAGAGGATTAGTGCCCCATCATTGGTGTCAGTGGGAGGAATAGTGCCCCATCATTGGTGTCAGTGGGAGGAATAGTGCCCCATCGTTGGTGTCAGTGGGAGGAATAGTGCCCCATCATTGGTGTCAGTGGGGAGGAATAGTGCCCCATCATTGGTGTCAGTGGGAGGAATAGTGCCCCATCATTGGTGTCAGTGGGAGGAATAGTGCCCCATCATTGGTATCAGTGGGAGGAATAGTGCCCCATCGTTGGTATCAGTGGGAGGAATAGTGCCCCATCGTTGGTATCAGTGGGAGGAATAGTGCCCCATCATTGGTGTCAGTGGGAGGAATAGTGCCCCATCATTGGTGTGTCAGTGGGAGGAATAGTGTCCCATCATTGCTGTCAGTGGGAGGAATATGCCCCATCATTGGTGTCAGTGGGAGGAATAGTGCCCCATCATTGGTGTCAGTGGGAGGAATAGTGTCCCATCATTGCTGTCAGTGGGAGGAATAGTGCCCCATCGTTGGTATCAGTGGGAGGAATAGTGCCCCATCATTGGTGTCAGTGGGAGGAATAGTGTCCCATCATTGCTGTCAGTGGGAGGAATAGTGCCCCATCATTGGTGTCAGTGGGAGGAATAGTGCCCCATCATTGGTATCAGTGGGAGGAATAGTGCCCCATCATTGGTATTAGTGGAAGGAATAGTGCCCCATCGTTGGTGTCATTGGAAGGCATAGTGCCCCATCATTGGTATCAGTGGAAGGAATAGTGCCCCATCATTGGTATCAGTGGGAGGAATAGTGCCCCATCATTTGGTATCAGTGGAAGGAATAGTGCCCCATCATTGGTATCAGTGGGAGGAATAGTGCCCCATCATTGGTGTCAGTGGGAGGAATAGTGCCCCATCATTGGTATCAGTGGGAGGAATAGTGCCCCATCATTGGTATCAGTGGGAGGAATAGTGCCCCATCATTGGTATCAGTGGGAGGAATAGTGCCCCATCATTTGTATCAGTGGGAGGAATATTGCCCCATCATTGGTGTCAGTGGGAGGAATAGTGCCCCATCATTGGTGTCAGTGGGAGGAATAGTGCCCCATCGTTGGTGTCATTGGAAGGCATAGTGCCCCATCATTGGTATCAGTGGGAGGAATAGTTCCCCATCATTGGTGTCAGTGGGAGGAATAGTGCCCCATCGTTGGTGTCATTGGAAGGCATAGTGCCCCATCATTGGTATCAGTGGGAGGAATAGTTCCCCATCATTGGTGTCAGTGGGAGGAATAGTGCCCCATCGTTGGTGTCATTGGAAGGCATAGTGCCCATCATTGGTATCAGTGGGAGGAATAGTGCCCCATCATTGGTATCAGTGGGAGGAATAGTGCCCCATCATTGGTGTCATTGGAAGGAATAGTGCCCCATCATTGGTATCAGTGGGAGGAATAATGCCCCATCATTAGTATCAGTGGGAGGAATAGTGCCCCATCGTTGGTGTCAGTGGGAGGAATAGTGCCCCATCATTGGTGTCAGAGAGAGGAATAGTGCCCTATCATTGGTGTCAGTGGGAGGAATAGTGCCCCATCATTGGTGTCAGAGAGAGGAATAGTGCCCTATCATTGGTGTCAGTGGGAGGAATAGTGCCCCATCATTGGTGTCAGAGAGAGGAATAGTGCCCTATCATTGGTGTCAGTGGGAGGAATAGTGCCCCATCATTGGTATCAATGGAAGGAATAATGCCCCATTGTTGGTATCAGTGGGAGGAATAGTACCCCATCATTGGTGTCAGTAGGAGGAATAGTGCCCCATCATTGGTGTCAGTAGGAGGAATAGTGCCCCATCATTGGTGTCAGTGGGAGGAATAGTGCCCCATCATTGGTGTCAGTAGGAGGAATAGTGCCCCATCATTGGTGTCAGTAGGAGGAATAGTGCCCCATCATTGGTGTCAGTAGGAGGAATAGTGCCCCATCATTGGTGTCAGTAGGAGGAATAGTGCCCCATCACTAGGAAGACCACTAGACTTCTGGTGCATGGGCAATATAGTGCCCAGCGGCATGTGTTAACATGCATGGAAATCCACGGCTCATGTGTGTGCTGTGTAAAGTTGCTGCTTATGCAGGCCATAAACGGTTCTTTTATTGGCCAAATTTATTTATTGGCTGAAAAATGAAACATCGGTCGTTCTGTTGCAACCAATGATTACGAAAATCTTTCGTTTTTCATAAATTTCCCAGCATGACTGATAAAAGAAATGAGGAAAACCATGAAAATCGGCCGATGACATTGCCCCACTAACGGTGCGAATATCGGCCGATTATTCTTTCAGACGAAAATTCGGCCGATAAATGAACCGTCTATTAGGAAGTCTGCTTACTTGTCTGAGTGAACTTCGTTCCACTTGAACTATTGATTGAATGGGTTGTCAGCTGTAGGTTGATCACTCCAGCTGGAAGAGATCGATTGGAAAAGAAATTAATGATTTGCTGAAGCATGTATGGCCACCATTAGCCAATCAAATATTCCCTGGATCTGCTATCTCTGGTGTCACTACTTATCAGTGTTACATGCTGTGTATTGATACAATTGATAATTTTTCATATATTGAGACAATGATACAGTTGATATATTTTTTTCATATATTGATACAATCATACAATTGATAATTTTCATTAATTGATACAATGATATAAATGATAATTTTTCAACTATTGATACAATTAATAATTTTTCATATATTGATACAATGATACAAATGATACTTTTTCATATATTGATACAATGATACAAATGATACTTTTTCAACTATTGATACAATTAATAATTTTTCATATATTGATATATTTTTTCATATATTGATACAATGATACAATTGATACATTTTCATATATTGATACAATGATATACTTTTTCATATATTGATACAATGATACAATTGATACATTTTCATATATTGATACAATGATACAAATGATACTTTTTCATATATTGATACAATGATACAAATGATACTTTTCATATATTGATACAATGATACAAATGATAATTTTTCAACTATTGATACAATTAATATTTTTTTCATATATTGATACAATGATACAATTGATACATTTTCATATATTGATACAAATGATACTTTTTCATATATTGATACAATGATACAAATGATAATTTTTCATATATTGATACAATACAATGATACACAAATGATAATAATTTTTCATATATTGATACAATGTTACAATTCACATAGATTGACATATTGATACAATAATAAAAAAATCAGTTCCACCAACGTCATGGCACTTATAGGAATCGAAACTTCCATGACATTTTTCTCGATTGGCCAACATCAAAAGCTCGTAAAAGGAACAGCGCCGATCATTGCGTTCCGTGTTTGCCTAGATACGACTTTTCTGTTTAATGGAGTTCCCCTTTAAGACTCGGATTTTGGTGTCAGTGTGTGTGACAGTTACTGACTGCTTCAATTGCTCGCTCGCTGTAATTTGTAATGGCATTAACAGGGAGTTGTTATCTCCTCTATAAGTTAACGACAGACTGACACTCGCTAAACGTTTCCTTGTTTTAGGTGTGAGGCTGATTTTATTTCATCTGTCTCCGCTGGCGGCGGCGGCGGCAACCTGGCTGCACGTTCTGTCTGCTCCGTACGGACAGGATCTGTCTGGTGCTATTCAGCAATCTAAACATTGGAGAACGATCGTTAGTCTTTCCGAAGATTCCTCGGTTGCACATGATGTCATACCGGGGGCGGACTGACCATTTAGAAACTAGGGCACTGCCCGAGGGCCCGGGGTCAGTAGGGGGCCCCATGAGATGCCCCTGGTACCTTTTTCATAGGCTTTTTTGAGTTTGGGCAAGGACACAGGGGCCCCATGATCCCCTATTGCCCAGGGGCCCCATGAGTTGTCAGTCCGCCCCTGTGTCATACGAATCACTGGTGTCTAGGCGTCACCCAAAATTCCCCCAGAAACATCACACGTGATCCTGTTGCACAACAATCACGGCAGAATCTCTTTCCGTTTGGGGTGAAAGGATAATGATGCTCAAAC